ATGCAGTGCAGTTTGGCCTAACAGACTTCAAACCATATATAGCAAATGCTCAAAACCCTGACGAAGCAAGACCTAGCAGAATGAGTTAGCTACCTCCTCACCTGAAAGCCTCTGTGTAGGCGCATTCATCCATTCTAATAACCATGTTTGTTAAGTATGTTCCATGTTCCTAGCATTCTAATGGGTACCAGATACTAAGATAAATAGGTCACAGAGCCAAGAGTGGGCACAAGGTGCTCAGAGACTCACTGAGGGCAAAGACACAAAAAGTTCTATGACACAAATGCCATAACAGCAGTAATAAGGCACATGTTTGCTGGGCATGAGGGAGGGGAAATAATAACCTGAGTCATAATTAGAGAAAGTGTAATAACAACACACTTTTTAATTGAGTTTTGAGAGTGAAATAGGATAGAATTACGTACGACGTAAAAATTGCAAGATTTGGTAACCAACTGGGTGCATGAGGTGAGGAAAATGGGTGTAGGAGTGATTTTTAGGGCTTTGCTTTAAGTATTATATTGATAATATAGCCATTAACCCTAAATAACATCCATATTTTAGAAATAGAGCATAATTTCCTATGGATGATGATAAAAATTTTGAACTTTAGCTTTTAAATTTTTTTTTACTAATTCTAAACAGAGTTTTATTAACACATAATTACTGCAGACAGGCTGCAACATAGGTCAAAATTTCTGTCCATCATTATGCTCTATTCCATTCTACCAGAGGATACACTTAGTTGTCAGGAGGAAGACTTAGTAAACAGCTAATCCAGTGTTTCTGAAATGTGATCACTGCAATGCACTCAAAGTCTTCAAGTCAAATGGATATTCTGGGCAGATGGACAGTCTTCATTCTATGACTTTGGGCACCACACAGCACTGAGAAACCCAACTCTGGTTTTACCAGCAACACACATAATAATCACCTTGTTTTAACTTTTATTAATTTTCATTTCATCAAGTGAGTTTTTCTTGACCTTGAACCCAGATTCTGGGGCCACCAACAATAATCCCTCATATCTTGGGGATATTTTTGTTGTTTGACAGAGGACTCTAAGAGTGGAAATAGTCCAAAATGAGAATGCACTTCCTAAAATAGCATTCAATTTAATTACTCTTCAGAACAGCTTGTCAGCAATACACTGTTATTTCAAGTGGCTGGAAACAAACTAAATAGCCCACAGTACGGAAATGATTAATTATAATAAGCCACCAAGGAAATAGTATGCAACCTCTAAAAAATAAGTTTACAATGATATGGAATCTATTTTTGTTAGAGAATAAAGCAGGACACAAAATGGTACATATAGTATGATTAATAACGTGATTTTAAAAATTTAAAGCTACTTTTAAGAAAAGCGAAAAGTATGTAAACCAAAAGTTTGCAGTCTTATTTGAAAAAACAATAGAAAACAACAAGTGTTGGTGAGGATGTATAGAAATTGGAACTTTTGTGCACTGTTGGTAGGATTATAAAATGGTGCAACTGCTACAAAAAACTGGGTGTTCCTTGAAACATTAAAAATAGAACTACCATATGATCCAGCAATCCCACTTCTAGATATATATCAAAAAAACCTGAAAATAAGTCTCAAAAAGATATCTGCACGCCCATGTTCACAGCAGCACTATTCACAATAGCCAAGAGGTGGAAGTAATCCCAATGTCCATCAGTGGATGAATAGATACGTACAATGGAATACCGTTGTGCAGCCTTAAGAAGGAAGGAGATCTTGACGTGTTATAACATGGATGAGTCTTAAAGATATTATGCTAAGTGAAAGAAGCATGAGAGGACAAATATTATATGATTCCACTTATGTAAGGTATCTAAAGTAGTCAAATTTATAGATACAGAAAGTAGAATGGTGGTTAGCAGGGGCTGGGGGAGGGGGGAAAAGGGAGTTGTTAAAAGGGTACAGAGTTTCAGTCATGCAAGATGAAAAAGCTCTAGGGCTCTGTTTCACAACAATGCGAATATATTTAATACTACTGAACTGTACACATTTCAAATGGTTAAAATGGTAAATTTTATGTTTTTTGCCATAATAAAAATGCCTTTAATAAAAATATATAAAGAAATCCAAATCAACTATATGCTGATTAGAGAGGGAGAAAAGGGGAGTAGATATCTCCCTTTTGTGCAGATGGATGTGTTTTCATTTCTGGTGCATTCCACATGTGCCAGCTCCACAGAGAGAGAACAAAGATTTAAAACCTTGGACGAGAGGACCTGAGCTTTCCAAAATCCAAATCGACACTAAAACCCATCAGAAAAGCCTAAGTGTTGGGGTGTTTACTTTTAGAATCCCATAAGCCACATTCCCAGAAAAGAATCTTGCTCACAGTAGGACACTCCAGGGAATCAACAAGAATAAACCTGGTTGGGCCAGTTTGGGTTCTTTATTGCAAATAACTGAAAAGGACACTGGCAACTTACACAAAGTGAAAAACAACAACAGCAACAAAAAATCAGTGGAGGCAGCTCACGCCTGTAATCCTAGCGCTCTGGGAGGCCCAGGCGGGCGGATTGTTTGAGCTCAGGAGTTCAAACCAGCCTGAGCAAGAGCAAGACCCCGTCTCTACTAAAAATAGAAAATAAATTAATCGGCCGACTAAAAATATATAGAAAAAATTAGCCAGGCATGGTGGCGCATGCCTGTAGTCCCAGCTACTCGGGAGGCTGAGGCAGAAGGATTGCTTGAGCCCAGGAGTATGAGGTTGCTGTGAGCTAGGCTGACACCACGGCACTCACTCTAGCCCAGGCAAAAGAATGAGACTCTGTCTCAAAAAAAAAAAAAAATCAGTGGAAACAGGGACAATACTGGTAACAAAAGAAAACTACAAAGAAATCATGTTTAATATCTTTATTGAGTCAAGATCTTGCATTCATATCATGAAAACACGTTATTAAAAAGAAAATATCAGAGAGCAAGAAAGGGGAAGAAAAAAGATGACATAAATTCAATGAAAGGATTAAGAGGTAAATTTTAAAAATCTCCCAGAAAGAATGAAAAGTCAAAGAGGTGGATAATACAAAAAAAAAAAGATGAAAATGTTAGAAAATCAATGGAAGAAATCCAATATCCAAATTAACAGGCACTCAAGAGAAAGAGAATAAGGAAAAAAGTAGGGAGAAAATTTTTAAGAAAAATAATATAAGACACAATCAATCATACAATTTCTTAGATGAAATGGCACATTGAGCACTCAGCACAACGAATAAAAAATAGCATACACCAGGGTAATTCACTAAAAGCTTTAGTATATGCATATGGATAAGAGATCTTAAAAGTCTGCATCAAAGAAACAAAGACAAAAACATATAAAAGATCAAGGAAAATGGCATTAGACATCTCAACTGCAGCACTGGAAACCAGAGGATAATGAAGCAATTATCATCCAAATTCTTTCCAACCTAGAATTCTACACCCAGAAACTGCCACTCAACTATAAGACCAGAATAAAGGCATTTTCATACTCTCAAAGTCTGAGGGACAGAAAACTGCTGGATTTTTGTTTTAAGCCTTCCAACACTATTTGACTTGTAGCTTCACTTTATTTTGAACTGTACGGTTTATAAACATTTTCAATTTTGGTCTCCAGGCACATTTTCTATCCTCTATAATCATGAATAGGATATACCCTTGGTTACTCCACACTTCCCCCAGTAAAATATGAGATCATGATATTAAAAAAAACCCACAAAAATAATAATCTTTATTTTTATATAATAATATACTTAAGAAATGCTTTAGAAACAGTCACAGATATCCTGTATGACAGATATTATTATCCCTTGTTTAAAGATGAGAAAACTAACGCTCAAAGAGATAAGTAACTTTCCAAAGGTGTCACAGCCAACATAAGGTAGTGCTAAAACTCACAAGTTAAGTCTAGTACCATGTTCATGATGCTACAGGTAAGAAGTCTGTGTATAATCTCCTCATGGCTTTATGTTCCAATTTCTCATTCTCCTTCAGGCACACGGGAGAAGGGAACTGTTTTCTTTGAAGCAATCAAAAGCACTTTGTTATCCCTTTTCTTCATCCTAATGACAACCCAACTATTTATTTCATCTCAAGCACCTCAGCATTTAGCTCCTTTTCCTTCTCTAAGCCATTCTTAAAGAACTGTAGTACAGGTCCCAAAACAAATACTGACTTAGGTACTTAGAGCTATGGCAAAAGGCAAATCCTAACTTACTCATTACAAATAAGTTTCTCTTTTTTTTTTCTTAAGAAGTATGAGAGTATGAAGGTGAAAGTTAAGTACACAAATGTGACTTCATCTTTTCACATGCTACATACAGCGTATAGCTACATATAGTATCTATAGCTATATATATATATGTATATAGAGAGAGCATATGAGGGCTGTCTGGAAAGTATCCAGCCATGCAACCGTGCTCATTATATTAACAATGGCTGGATACTTTCGGGACAGCCCTCGTACATACCTAACTATAACCTTATATATGATGTACACAGATGTTCATAATGATCCCTTGGGCTCATTTTCATAAAAAATGTAACTCTGGTTTATAAGCTATTAGCAATGATTTATATCATAGAGGGATAAAGATTCAAAAACAATTACCCCTTCCACTTTGCCCCCCAAAATGTATGAATCAAAAAATATGCCTCAAAATTTAGAACACAATAAACACATGCACACACACACACACACACACACACACTCACACACAGCTTCTCTTCCTACTCCCTTTTCCAAAGCAAAGACAGAGACAGGAAGACTACAGACACACATGCACTCACACTCACATACCACACAACCACTCATGTGTACATACACAGTCTATGACCTTGGACTCATATTCCTACTCGACTTCACCCTCTGTTAGACTTGTGGTCCTGAACAGGCACTGAGTGAAGAGGTCACAGTCTTCACTGAGAAAGCCCAACTGCACTCTAAGTGACTATCTGTTTTGAGCAACAAAATAAAGTGCGTGATAACAATCTGGCCACTTACTCCACAGTATCGGTCGCCATTAAATATCTGAGGTGGCAGAGGGTTGCCCTGAGCAGGCTTTTTTTCTGGGGGGACGTTTTTGTACATCCATTGCCTCTGTTCTTCTGACATTGTGATATCCACCTCCTCAAACTCTATCTTGTTGGCTTCCAGAAATCTAACCACATCCTGCTGCTTCTTCTTTATCTAAAGAGAGAAGACAAACAAATCAGGAGAAATGTTCATCTGAAACAGTATGTATATATTTCCACATTCAACTAGACTTGATTTCTCATTGTCAGAGGTCACTGATACAAAAAGAAGAGGTGATTTACAAAGGTGTCCCGCACTGTCCACTCACTGGATATTAGCAGAGGACTAAGCCTAAGCTGGTCCTAACACAGTGTTTTTTTTTTTTTTTTTTTTGAGACAGAGTCTCACTCTGTGCCCTGGCTAGAGTGCCATGGCATCATCGTAGTTCACTACAACCTCAAACTGCTGGGCTCAAGCCATTCTCCTGCGTCAGCCTCCCGAGTAGCTGGGACTACAGGCATGCGCCACCATGCCCGGCTAATTTTTTATGTATATATTTTTAGTTGTCTGGCTAATTTCTTTCTAATTTTGGTAGAGATGGGGTCTTGCTCTTGCTCAGGCTGGTCTCGAACTCCTGAGCTAAAATGATCCTCCCGTGTCAGCCTCCCAGAGAGCTAGGATTACAGGCGTGAGCCACCGCGCCCGGCCTAACACAGTGATTTCTTCACCTGGATTCCCCAGAACCTTGAGGCACAACTCAGACTGCCTGGAAGGAATAGTCAATGGGGTTACAGATTCACTCAGGTCTCAGTGGGCCACAGTCACGCCCCACCCTGCACCCCACCCCACCCTCACCCTCACGAGAAGTTGACATTTACAGTCATGGAAGCTCCCTCTGCCCAAAACCACCTGAAAACCACACACAGTCCACCTGAGACGTCGACACTGCATTGATTCATGAGAGCAGCAACACTTTGCTCCCCCTCAGCAGCCTCTTTCAGATATTCCTCAGCTGCAGCCACTATCACGAAAGCATCCTTCCATCAATTCACAAGAGAAAAACGTTCTCCGCTCCTAAGGCGAGAGTGAACGATGAGTGCCATCTTACTTTAGACTCTGCTTCTTAACCCTTTTCATTCCTCTGATCTTTCACGTTTCCTTCTTCAGTCACTAGGGGTCAGGTGTGCTCCTGAGCTGCAAGCACATCTGCAGGTTTTCAAAATGTTACTAACATCTTAATTTAAGGGTATGTATTAACTAATTTAGATGAGATGACTATACAGTAGTCCTCCCTTATCCCTGAGGGACATGTTCCAAGACGCCTCCCCACCTCCGTGGATGCCTGAAACCACGGATAGGACCGAACTCTGAATAGACTGTTTTTTCGATCCGATAACCAAGATGGCTACCAAGTGACTAACAGGCAGGTGGCATATACAGAATGGATAACGCTGGACAACGGGATGATTCCATTCTGGACAGGGCAGGGCGGGGTGGTGCAAGATTTCATCCTGCTACTCAGAATGGTGGTCAATTTAAAACTTATGAAATGTTTATTTCTGGAATTTGCCACTTAATATTTTCAGACCCGTGGTTGACCTTGAGTAACTGAAACCACTGAAAGCAATCGTGCAGGTAAGGAGGGACTACTGCATTCCATGTCTTAAACACAGCATGTAAAACACGAGAAAGCCAGCTGGCGTTTTCTAAGTGATTCTGGGAAACCTGCATAAAGAACAATCTTAAGTAGTTTAGTAATTTTATAATGACCAGAGAAAAGAATCATTTTGAGAGGTCAATCAGCCAGTAAGACCTCTGGCTTCTCATAAAAAACGAGATGCCTAAAGAACTAACTCTCACATACTAATTACCTCCACCAATCCCCTCCTGCCAACTCTCCCCAGAACACCTCAATGACATGTGTCTCTGAGATTGGAAATCTGTTATATGCTATAAGCAAGGAGATTCTGGTCAATGGATTGAAGTCTATGAATGACTAACAAGATGGTGTGGTTAGTATGGACAGAAATAAAAAACTAGCAAAATAAGATATCTTTAAGCTCCATAACAGTCTAACATGACAGAATTACTGTCTGGTTATACATGCAAATTGATAGTGGCATTATCTCAATTTCTTGAACTAAACCATTTCTCATTTTTGAAAAAGTTAACTTTTTGTGACTTACAAACAATTTCAGAAATCTAGCTATATTATTTTGAAACTTTGCTTTGTTAAAAAAAGCATCATCTATCCTACTTAATTTCTCCTTAAGACTCTGGAATATAGATTTTATTGTTTCCCTGAATTTTGCGGGGACACAAACGTTTTGACCATAGCAACATCTTTAACTGTATCTTTCATACTATTCCAGGCCAAAGCCCTGTGAATAAAACCCAGGTAACAAAGGAAGAGACATTTTTCAGGCTCCTGATGGACCCGTGCTAAACTGCTCTCAACAAGGCCACACCAATTTACACTCCCATTAGTAGTATCTGAAAGTGCCCATGTCTCAGCACCCCTCCCTCCTTATGGCCTAAATTTCAAAATTGCATATGAAAATTAACCATGTAAATTAATCACATTTAATCTGTAAAATGTGTAATAATATCTCTATTTTAAGTGAGGGTAGCAGTGGGGATATGACCAGGTTTGTGTTTCAAAGATATCATTTTAATACTATGCAGCATAAAAAGAAAAAAGAAGCGTTGTATGTACTATTGACACCGTTATGAAAAGATCTGCTAAATTCCAAGATATATTAGTAGATTTAAAAACAAAACAAACAAGCAAAAAAAAAAACAAGGAGCAGAACTGTGTGTAGACTAGGACCACTTTTTTAGAAAAAAAATGGAGGAAAATAGGAACACAGATGTATTTACCTGTATTTATATTGTTCTTTAAAAACTCTTGAAGGTCAAATAAGAAACCAAGAAAAATGGTTATCCAGGGGCTGAGGGAATAGGAACTGGATGAGGACACAAAGTGAGACAAGAGTTTTCCCTAAAATTTTTTGACATTATAAATGTGTTAATATTCAGAAAATTAAATATAATAGAAGAAATATATTTTGAGAGAGAGAGAGACAAGATACAGGAGCAGTACCCGCCACAGAGACGCAATGCTTTACGTAAATCAAGTTTTCCCAACGTGACATGAAGCAGAACTCAAACCATTTTGTTAGTCATTGGCCTCCATGTTTCCTTACACAACGTGACATGAAGCAGAACTCAAACCATTTTGTTAGTCATTGCCCTCCATGTTTCCTTACACTCAGAAGAAAGGGCAGGTCATTACAAAGAAGAAATAAAAAGACCAAATAGCTAAAACCACAGACAATTAGGTAATACTATAGCAAATCACCCAAATAAACAAGGTGGGAGAAATTTATCCAGAAGGAAGTTTTCAAGCAGATGTCTGTGCTATTAACTTCAGGAAGGAAGATGAGTCACACCACCATGGGCTGTTTGTAAGATGTGCAGGGGTCAATGTAGCCTGGAACTGTGGGAGCCCAGGCTCCGTGGCAGGGGCACAGGCAGTTCAGGAAGCAGGGACCTGGGAGAACACACCAGCCTGCTGGGAGGGGTCCAGGTAACAGAGAGGCAACAGGAAGCCGTCAAGGGCACTTCATGTGCTGGGCTTAATCCGAGAGTCCAAATAACAACATACACAATCATTTCCTTCACACAGTGAGTTTTATTTTCCCCACATTCCAACTTTTCTGAAATGAAATGCACCTTACAATCAGTATCAAAAGGAATTTGCCAAGTAAATGGAAGAGAAGTAGATTATGGCCAAGAGTCACTGCCTTCATCTATGTCTATTTACCTGTGGGTGGGAGGTACTTGTAACTCGCCTGTTTGTTTTTATTTAAACACACTTAGAAGCAAACAATGGTAGTTATTTACCCAGTAACCAATCTCCCTTGCTTTCTTAATACAGAAGCCTGGTTTTATTTAGAAAAGTAATGTGCTCAGCTACAAAACCTTGTTTACTCAAAGGCCGCTACAGCTAGAGGTGATCACATGACACAGGTCTGGCCAAAGATGACTCTTGGGAGGGCTCCACTTAAATGAAAGAAAACACAAAGCGCCTTTTCCCCTTCTCCCTTCCCCTTTCTTCCTTGCAGAAATGCAGACATGGTGCCTAGAGGTGTAGAAACCGCTTCACAAATGTGAAAACAAACACCATATGCTAAGGATGGTCAAGCAGAAAGACAGTAGCCTGGGTCCTTAATGACATTTTGCAGCTGCCACCCAGTCTCTTCTTGCACAGCCTACTCAACACCTTTCTGTCATAGACAAACCCTTAATAAATTAAGCCACTCTTTATCCAGTTTTCTATAGCTTGCACCCAAATGTAATGTTACCTGATAAAATTCTTAAAGGCTATTTAAAAATGTATTCAGAAATACTGTCTTATAATGAAGGATTGAAAATAAAAGCTATTACTGCAAGTAGAGCCTGGAAATAAAAGCCGTAAGACTTTGAATATTTAATATGAGTGAGTGAATATTTGTCACTGGATAAACAGAGGAAATTTCATTATTTTCTTCATAAAGCAACAACCAAGGTGTCGGACCTAAAAGAGGAAGGTATCTACACAAAAGGATGAAAGTCGCATTTCACTTCACCATTCAAACATATGCCATTACATGCCATACAAAGCAATCAAAGGGAACACTAAATCTCCTGTGTTAGATTGGCAGGCGGGGGGCAGGAAGGGTAAGGCAAAATATGACCCATGGGCCAAATCTAGCTCACTATTTTTGCATGGGCTGCTGCCAAAAATGGCCTTTGTATTTTTAAATGGTTGGGGAGAAGAAAATCAAAAGAATAGTATTTCATGACATGTAAAAGTTACATGAAATTTCAGTGTACACAAATAAAGCTGTATGGGAACACAGCAACACTCATTCATTTACATATTGTCTATGGCTGCTTTAGCCCTACGATGGCAGAGCTCAGTAGTTGCAACACAGACCGTGCGTGGGCCCTAAAGCCAAAAATATCGACTAGCTGCCCTTCACAGAAAAAGCTTGCCGACCTTTGGGCTGGACCACAGATCTTCATCTCTGATTCAAAGTTCACTTTCTTGGTGAGCTCTCCTGGGAATCACTCAAATTTACACTTTTTTAAAAAATTTTTTGAGACAAAGTCTTGCTCTCTTGCCCAGG